GCAAATACAATTAACATTTGAATCTCCCGGGCGCCATTAAGACAACTGATCTGCAGTGAAGCTTCATTACGGTTCTGATTGGTTAATAAGGGAATGGACTAAGGGAGATAATGAGGTTTGTATTTATTAAATACACATAAGGATGTCCATGCATGGTAAGATGTTTCCCTGTGGATATATATGTCGGCACCAGCAACTGATGGGCCATTACAGTTCATGACAAAGTCATATTTTTATCTTCATACTTTTCCCTGCATAAAACTAATAAGGGACGAAAAAAGACAAAAAAAATTAAAAAAAAAAAAACAAGAATTAAAAAAAATACAATAAGAAAAAATTAAAAAAAAAAAAAAAAACGATATCAGTGCTTGCGCTGTTACAAAGCATGGGCTGGAGCCACCAATACGAAAGACCCCAGTTCGACCTCTCCTTCAAGCAGTATTACATTAAATTCAGACAGATTTTTTCTGTATGACCTACCGCTGTAGGCTAGGGCGTCTTTATTCTCTGGGCTCTACATCGCAACTCCCTTCATCAGTCTATCACACATGTCATTCACCGGCGGCCATGTAACCCTCGTGACTATCTCAACGAAAGGGAGACAATCGCCGTTTGTAACACTACATAAACCTTGTCATTTAATCAATTTAAAGAGGTTTTAATTTCGATATATACACTTATGCTTTGGAATTCTTTCGAAAATAATTTAATTAATAACCTTTAAAAATGTTCGCAACACCCCTACGATCCCCTCAAGGTACCCCAGTGTTCCGCTGCACACCGGTTGAAAATCACTGCTCTAACACCGCAGGGATTCTATTACTAGCGGTGCTCAGCGATGAACCTGTAGAGTGTAGAGGATTTTTTTATTCTTATTCTTTTTGAAACGTCGGGGTTACCATTTGTAGAGGCCCGTTTTATTTTTATTCCTGCTTGAAACGTCATTATTTGTTGATTGCATGTTAGTTGATATGACCTCTCAATTTATATTCAACACAAAATATCACAAAATATGAAACAACAAGAAGGAACACAAAACGGTTTTTTTTTTGTAACAACAATATATTTGTAATGATGTACAAGCATATGGGCTACTATTTTTGTTGGTATTATGTCCCTTTGGCTGAATTAAAGTTTTTACTAATGAAATATTTTTATCCGAGCTCACAAAAGTTGAATGAACTTGCCGCTCAAAATGTTCACAGTTAGAGAGTTGAAAGAATTATAAAGCTGAGAATATGTTGAGTAAACTTTCAGCTTCAGAAGAGTTGAATGTTCCGTAATGATTGTAATGAAATTTCCATTGCTTGTGGTTGAATATTCGTCGTTTGAAATGAAGTTTGAAAAGTTTCGTATGTTTGTAATGTAGTTTGGAAAATTTCGTACGTACGTGCATGTGTGTGTGAATATATTTTCATAGCGTCCGCCCGAACTGGGAATCGGAACGCAGTTTCGCTTTAAGGCTACATTTTCGTAGGTGAATGAAATCAAGAAAGAGAGAAAGAACAAATTTGTGTCTGATATTTATAATCAACGTAATCACGTGACAGGATCAAAAAGGCATCGACAGATTTTGGTGGAATTATTTTTGTCAGGTCAAGAACTAGGTCGATGTTATTCGGACATGATTATTATGTGACCAATCAGAAGTTGAGATTTTCTGAAAATATGTATTAAGCTGAATAAGCTCTGTGATCCACTTTTTGCACAGATTTGCGCAAAAATCAACATTGATAAGAGAGTGGTAGCGAGATGCTAAAAACCTGTCTAAGATTTCATGGTCTCAGTTGTATCCCACGATGGAAGGATTTTACACATGTGTGTCTGAATTTCTGGGATAAGGAGTTCTCATTATTTACACTCAGACTATTGTCTTTATCTTTGCTATTATCTCAACGTTTCGGTCGTTGTGTCATCCGGCCTTCGTCACTTGCTTGTTGATCCTAATAACCGTCAAGCAATTTCAAATTGAACTCTCTATTTGGTCTAGGTCTATATCCAGGAATACCTCGTATAGTTCTTATTTGTTACTGCTCGTTTATTGCTCGCCATGTTTCTACTGGGTTTAAAGCTGGGATTAAATGAAGGGTTTATTTCGAAATTTTATGAAAGTTACCTGGATCGACAAGCACCTGATGAAAGCCGAAGAGCAAAACACCCAAAAGGTTGCGTTACTAACAACATACAGGTGTGACATAACTGGATTTCAAAATTAATCCCGAGCGCGCCCGCTTTCAGTTCTAGATTAGATGTTTTCTGATTTCCATTGTAGACTCTCCACTGCGACGGTATCGTTTCGACCGCCATCTTTAATTACGTAAAAGACTACCGACATCAAACCAGGCGACTTTCAGTTATGCCACTGCTTTTGGTCACATACTAACGGTATTGCAGAGGACCGTGTGGGTTTTGAGTGTTGTTGAATTCCTGTGAGTTTTGAGTGTTGTTGAACACGTGCTGTTTATTCCTGCTAGAAGGTCCAACTACAAGAACAATGCGGACTCAAGTTGAGTCCAAACGAAGATGTAAAGAAAACAAACAAGACCGAAATATATATGTCAACAAATATATGTATTAAACAACAAATCTACACGTGACAAAGACATTTTTATTTGTGTGTGGACATAAAGAGTTTGTATTTTGGTGAATGTTCGTACGTACGTGTATGTGTGTATAATGTTCATCGCGTCTCCCACAAATGGGAAGACACTATCTTTTGCGAGAGCTTACATTGTAGATGTGTTCGCTGAAATGAAAAAGAGAACGAAACAAGAAGTCGCCCAGTATTTATAGTGTAGAGAAAGCAACCCCTAGTGAACAATTAGGGAATCAAGGAGGAGCTAACTCCGACAGTATTATTAGCAGTTTCCTTATAAAAAGAAATTGGACATTCATTAACCAAGCAGTCAGTGCTACTCGAGATACGCTTTTCTTCACTTCCTGATGATCTGGCACAAGGCTAAAAGTATAGGGCATCCGGGGAACAGTATAGTATGTGTGGTGTCAACAGGCCTCACAACAATAAGTCTTTCTAGAGTGAATTAGAATCTCGGATAGTAATAGCACAAACCTGCACAGCTGATTGAAGCTGTACATTGATGTGGGTATAAAGACTTTTGATGAGATTTTATAAGCTCCTGGCACATTTAAACCGCCAACATTTTTTGGTAAACTCATATAAGTCTAAAGGAAAAATAAGACATAGAATTTAAACAAGGAAATATATTGACAGGACATTTTACAAAAGAAAAATGAGAAATGAAATCAAATGTGAAAAGTTCAAATCAAATTTCAGTGTCTGTAGTTAGGTACTCACATTTTGCGGAAGCGAAAAGAATACGTCTTTTTGCTATGAAAAGTCACCGAGGAAGCGATCGATTCTTTTAAATCTCGCATCGCCTGTAATTATCGTCAGGAGGCGGTAATTCCAAAATCTCGCCGCCTGTGATTATCATCGTGGGACAGTAATTCAACAACATATATCGTCCATGTAAATAAGGTATGTTAACTATTACCCAGTGTCTCCAAAAGTGAAGTACCGAGGGGGCTTGAGCAATTTTTTTCCACGGTATTGCCGGTAAACACACTTTAAACCTTGACTATGTGTCCCATTCGGTTGCGACGTGGCCGCGCTGAAAAATCCAACCACATATACACGACTGTTGTTTGTTATAGTATCTGTTCTCATCTCTAATGGAAATGGTGTAGGGACATTATTATTATAAATAAATAAAAATAAAGTAACAATAATAATAAAATTATAAATAAAATAAAACAATAACATTTAAATTTTGTTTGAAATAAAATAAAAATAATAAAAAAAACTTCCCCAGTTTGCAACAAAAACTCTTCCTGTCAGAAATACAGATATCCCACCAAAAGTCGTTAAATTCAATCTCTTCACCACGAACCTTTGTACGGGCAACACGTGTCCGACTTCTCTGTGATATAGCTTGTGATTATACAGAGTGATTTCTACCTTTTATCACATGTACCATAAAACAGTTGTAACCTAAAAATATACACACCAATACACGAAAAATATAAATAAATTGTATGAAATTAACATACAATTTACCATGCTTTCCTGTAATTTCTGTACATTTTATTTCCTGTCAAGAATGCTTTTATCTGCGTGAACACGAGGCTAATTTCTGCTGCTATGATATGAGTGACCCTAACATCATTTTGATGACCACCAATGTGTACAAAAAACATACGACTATCCACATTATTTTGATGACCGCCGACGTGCATAACAAAAACAACCTATTCACCCACAATGGTAATATTAACCGAAACGTTTGACATTCAGTGACCGAGCAGCCAGTGCTACTTTAGGTTGAAATTTATAAAATCTTTCTATTAAAACAATTTTTCAAGAGAATAGGTTTCTCAGGTCAAATAGCTGTTATCACTCTTTCCAATATTGATATGGGCTTCCTTCCTAACTGTGTGTTTGAAATAGTAAACATCGATTTTTGATTAGGTCATTATTTGTTCTTCGTGTTACATGTGCTATCCATTTTAGATGTTGCTTTTGTTCAAGAGATGTGGTTTCTATTATTAGGTACGATTATTTGTGATTCCGTAGCGCCAGTTCAAATTTCGAAGATAATAATGGATATTAAAACATTACATATATTATTCAATGTCGCCAGTAAATGTTCAAAAGTTATTTAAATTGAAACATTTTTCTTTTCTTTCTCTTAATCAGGTAATTAATATTTATTCATTTAATAACTAAATTATGCTGCCCACAGAACCTTAAACAAAGGGTTTGGAAGGTAACTTTCATTAATACTAAAAACAATGGATGTCCTGAAAATTTTCCTGAAAAATGTGTTTCTTAAAAAATTATAAATTTCAACCGACAGTAACGATGTCTGGTCGATAAATGCTGATTGTTTCGTTATAAGGAAACGGACAATTTCACCATTACCATTATGCCAATCTTAACTTTTTTTTTAGTAATGTCCAATTATTTTCTTTGGACCGCGATGTCTATACAACGCCTTCATTCATTGGTTATTAATGTCTATATCGGGCCATTGAAAGATGGTTTTATGAAATAATATATTAATATTATGCCATTTCTAACAGGAATTTTCATTGGTGAAAATGAATAAAAAATGTAGCTTATTAAGAACTGGATTAGAAAGCTGATCTTCTCGACATTAACCTGTCTCGCGCCAAGGAATCAACGAGATTTTGTGAAACGGGCGAGAAACAAAAGCACCAGAGTAAGTCAACTATTTGCAACAAGTGACTGACGTCCATTTTCTTTTCTTTTTTGTTCAAATTGACTTCAGTCTTCAACTTTAAAATTATTAAAAAGACAACAAAGAATTGCATAACTAATATTTAAGCTTTTGGCCACCAACATACTTGGTAAGTGATAAACTAATTGTTTCGGGTTTTTACAATTGATAATGATTACTATCATAATTTAAATAGAATATTCTGCAAGAAAGGTATGGACTGTTTTCTAAGTTTCATTGTCATTCAAGACCCATTTTTAAATAACTTTGCCTGCTTTTTCTTACATATTTGGGATTAACCTGTTAAACTTTCAGGAATAAAGCTGAGGCAAAACTTGAATTTAATTCTTTTCTTCTACAATTTAAAAAAAAAACATGGAGATACTGAAAGCAAATTGGTTACTTTTAAGTAAATTTAGTTTTATATTCTTATAAAGTGTCTTCACCTTTTCCCTTAAATTCAGCAAGTTCCTTTACAGACATTAAAAAGTGAATTTCTTAATTCAGATTTTTTTTTATTGTAGATGAATATTTCAAACAATTAAGGAAACTAGATGCGCTCTAAGATATGATTCAAGTTTTGTCAATACTCCCATCTCTTACTTGAATGAAACCAGAGCAGCTTTGTTAAACCTTTTCCTTGTTAAGGAACATTTCTGACCCCAACCCCACGTTTATTAATTTCACACTTTGATCCTCTTAATTGATTTTTTTCCAACAAGATTTCGTTCCATCACCAAAGACAACGTCGAGCCCGGTCAGTATTTGGATAGGGGACACCAGGTACAGTAAGCGACAATCCAAAATTTGGGTCGGCTTTAAATAACCCACAAAGGGTTGAAAACCGTCAAAAAAAAAAAAAACAATCAATTTCGAACTTACACCCTTTATTATTGACAAAAATACTGACCCTCCGTTTACCCAAGCTGCTTTATAAATTAAACGACTAAGAGTATACCGGCTCCGGACTGAAAGAGAAGGTAGCAAATATAGACATTTTGTGTGGTCAAGTTTAGTATTAATTTGTTTTAACTAATAAGATACATTCTACATGTTGGACTAACCACCGCGCAGGGTTATAACAAAACATCCATTTTGTTTTTCAACCTGGAACAATCAATTTTCTATCCTAAACTGGTCAGGTTGTTTCTTTCTTTACTCATTACTATTAGACCGGGCTATTTACTCATTACTATTAGACCGGACTATTTACTCATTACTATTAGACCGGACTATTTACTCATTACTATTAGACCGGACTATTTAGCCTATCCACCATGGAACCCTTGAACCCTCATCGGCCCCCAGGCATATACGAGAAAATAAATAATAAAGAAGATGTGCAGTTTCCATATTCATTAGTGAAGGAAATTGCATACAAAACCCTGATTTCCATACACAACCGGAAGCGAAACTGCATACAAAGCCCTGCGAAACTGTTGTCCTGTAGGAGTTAACTCCTCCTTAATTGTCCAAATAGTTCACTAGGGGTCGCTCTCTCTACACTATGAATACTGGGCGATTCCTTTTCTTGTTCTCTTTCTACTTTGCATTTCAGCGGATACATTTAAAAATGTGATCTCCCGCAGAAATCCGCGTTTTTCGTCCACTTGTAGGAAAGCGCCATGAAACACGCATACGCGTACGTACAAACTTTCACAAATATACAAACACTTTACGTTCACACACACAAATGTTAATGTCTTTGTCCACTGTAAAGTTTGTTGTTTAATACATATACGTGTTGATATAATATATATATATATATATATATATATATATATATATATATATATATAATACTCTCTCGACTCTCCCGCCGAATTTGAGGTATGAGGGTCAAGCAGATCAGTTCCTAGGAAACCGACAGCCCGACAACAGCACATGAGATTTGATTATAGTCGTGAAGGTTTCGTGCAAAACCATCCACAGTTTTTGAAGGGCAGAATACAGAGACCTGGTGCACTACGTGCCACAAGGTCCCCAAACGACTCTCCGCAGGTTTTGAATTCAGAATTGTCCTTCTCCGAGACCAGTTGCCATCCAAGACTATAGTCCTCATCTTTGTTGCCATGTTTATCACAACGTTTCGGCCGTTGTACGCTCCGGAGTTCTCCAGGAGGTTGGAATGTCAAACTGAACCCTTTATTTCGCTCGCTGGGTTAGACTGTTCTAGTTCCACGTGTCATGTCTAATGGATGTCAGTTATCAATTATCTCCTGTCAATTCTTTTGTTAAGGCAGTGGAGAACTTGCTGAGGTGAATTAACACTCTCTCTTTCTCTCTCTCTCTCTCTGCCCCGTTTTTTTTTCTTTTCTCTCTCTCTCCTGTCTTTCTCTCTCTCTCTCCTGTCTTTCTCTCTCTCTCTCTCTCTCTCTCTCTCTCTCCTGTCTTTTTTCTCTCTCTCTCTCTCCTGTGTTTTTTTTTCTCTCTCTCTCCTGTCTTTTTTCTCTCTCTCAATCTCTCCTTTTTTTTTTTCTCTCTGTCTTTTTTTCTCTCTCTCCTGTCTTTTTTTCTCTCTCTCTCTCCTGTCTTTTTTCTCTCTCTCTCCTGTCTTTTTTTCTCTCTCTCTCCTGTCTTTTTTTTCTCTAGTAGGAATCCTGTCTTTTCTCTCTCTCTCTCCTTCATTTTTCTCTCTCTCTCTCTCTCTCTCTCTCTATTTCTTTTAATAAAATCTCTATGTTTTTTTATCTCTCTCTACTATTTTTTTTCTCTCTCTCTCTCTGTTGTAACATTTTTTATCTCTCTCTCTCTATCTCTTATTTTTTTAATATTATATGAACTTTGGAAAACCTATGGTCCTTGAAATAAAAAACCATTGGATGAAAACGTGGACAGCCTAAGTGTCCTACTTCGATTCTCTTAACTAAGACGCTGTTGAATCCAAGCTACTCCTATTTAAAAATAAAAAATTAAAAATGGTTCAATTTTTCCATTTATTCACAAGATCGAGCCAGTCAAGTGTTTCGAAGTAGCTTTACGTCCGGGTTGTAAGTAGCCCAGTTCGAACTATATTCAGATCAAAGACGGCATTCAAATCCTATGCTGAGACTATTCGGCAAGATGTCGTAAGGAAGAATCCGTCGAATGAAGTCATACCACACACTGCTGTCGTTTGGTACATAAATCTCAATGAAACTAAATGCCTTCTCCTCTCTAGAAACATCAAGGGCGCAAAGTCTGTCTGTCGAATCCGTGTAGATAAGGGTACAAATCCCTTTCAGATAATGGCTTACAGGTTAAGAAACATATCTTGAGCGGCCATCAAAATATGCTGAGATGACGAACAGCCTCAACAATATATTCTCGTATCTTGATAAGTATACTCTTTTTGTGTTTTCTGTTTTTAATTATTTTATGTGAGATGCTTCAGTTATATGTATATATTTTTATGTTGTTTCTTTTGAACCTTATTATAATTTTTTTGTGGGAGGGGGATAATGTCTTTTTTTTTTTCTTGCTTGGGGTGAAATGATTAAAAAAAAAAAAAAAACTTTTAAGAAAACTAGAAAAACCAAAAAAAAAAAATAAAATTTTCCTTAGATTAAAACATTAAAAAACATTAAATGAATATATTAAAAAACAAGATTTCTGCTCAAATACACAATATTTAAATTGAATATATGCTGAATCAGTTGTTCATATCTTGAACAAAGATCACATATTTTGATTTATACTTTAATGATATACAAATATATAATGCATATGAATATATATGTGTGTGATTGAGTGTACGTAAATGAAAGTGTACTAAAAACTTTTCAGGCCAAAACAAGGAGTAGGGTTTTGAATAAATTCTGATATATGTTAATTTTGTCAGATTTTGTGAACCGAATCTATTTGAAACTTTTAAGTCTCAGTTGTACACATACACACATGTGTGCAGTGCATGCATGCGCACACACACACACACACACACACACACACACAGAGAGAGAGAGAGAGGGTGCGATGGATAAATTGTCGTTTAAATTACACAAAAATTTAAATAACACTCACATCTCATTTTAACAGATATATTTAGGAAAATTACACAAAAATATCTTGAAATACTAAAGAGTAAATTTATTCAATAAAATCACCATTGTCTTCAACCATGGCTTCCAGATGACTTTGGAATCTCCTGCATCTCTTCTGGATGGTCTCATTATTTAAGTTGGTAAATGCTGTCATATTTCTAACCTTCAGTTCATCTTTGGTGTTGCAAAAGGAGTTTTGTTGGTCTCTTTCTCAATAGTGCCTCATATCTAATAATCAAGGGGGTTGCAGTCTGGGGAGGTAGGTGAGCAAATGTAAGGAATGATGTGGTTGCAGAAATTGTCTGACAGCCATGACTAGGCTCACCTGTTTGTGTGGTATGGTGCAGAGTCCTGTTACCGGACATAGGGTTTTCCAGCTGCTACCCTCTTGATCCAGGGCAGTACTCCATCCACAACACACTTTATGTAGGTCTCCATGTTGTGTGTGAAGACCTCATGAACAAGTTTGGAAATCATTTTCTTATCAGAATGATCAAAGTGAGTTTTCTGAGCTGCTGTACCTTCATAATCACCATAAGACTCATCTAACTCTTTTCAAATCCTCTTCACTGTATTCAGATTGACACCCAAACACTCTGAAATGTATGTATTGGAATTTTTTGCATGAATGCCAAGCAGTACAGCATGCCTTTTGAAATTTCTGGTGTAGTGAATTGTGTCATGGTGCTCTTTTTCTCAATGACACTGCCCAACTGAATACTGTGCTTTGACAAAATTAAAAACAATGTACATGTGTAAAAAAAAAAATACAAAATGGCGACAATTTAACCATTGCACCCTCGAGACATTGATTTATAATATTTTAATGCAAAATATTTAAAAATAATTGCAACCCATTGTCAACAACAGTTCAAACCACAGTGCCTACAACAGTACCAACCACAGTGCCAACAACAATTCCAACCACAGTGCCTACAACAGTACCAACCACAGTGCCAACAACAATTCCAACCACAGTGCCTACAACAGTACCAACCACAGTGCCAACAACAATTCCAACCACAGTGCCTACAACACCAACTACAACTACAGTTCCAACGGCAACGTCTAAAGGTTAGTTTTCTTTAATTTTTTCCTAATGTTAGTTATAAATTTAAGCGTTATATGAAACTGTTTTTTATATTTTGTGTTCACAAATTAAATTACTTTATCATCTTTCATTAGAGTAAGTCCTCAATCCCTAATCTCTTCAATTAATTTGAAGTGTTGTCACCTACTGTTGATAAAACAGAATGCTTTAAAAAAAAGTTCTTTTCCAATTCTACTCCTGACTCACCAGGAGTACCAATACCTGTTTTTCCACCTAGAACTGAGTATGATATACATATAACTCTAACCATGGTTTCTGCTAACATATCCAAACTTGATCCCCATAAAGCATGTTAACTTGATGATATCCCTTCAGGATGTCCTCAAATGTACTTCTGAATTGACTCCTTTTAGACAGACAATATAAAATTCATTTATTTAGCTCAATTACCAATGTGTCAATGGTTATTATTGAAAAGAATCTGTCAAGCTTTAGATAAGAATGGTGAAGCTTGACCATATTGATAATATTTGGCATGCTACTCTTCTTCAAAAGCTGAAGGGCTAATGGTGTCCCTGTTGGAATTGCTTTGATCCAATCTTTCTTAACAAATCATGTAATGAAAGCTATTTGTAACAGCCACTCTTCTACATCTTTTTGCATTAATATAGATGTCCCTCAGTCCCTTGGACTTACTTTCTTGCTTTCCTGTAAACTAAAATAAAGAAAATTTTAATTGCAACATGAATCACCATCTTCTGTCTTTCTGAATCCTATTCTTTTTTTTAATCCTTTCTCCACATTTTCTTTCACTCTCAGTAAACCTTTGCAAATTAGTGGCTTTAACACCTTACTTTGGGTGAAATTTGGTTCAAAAAAAATTAAATTCATTTTCATATAAAGATATTTTCTTAGAGAATTAGTGAATTACATTTTACACTTTTCCTGCAATATGACTTGTTCAGTGACTTCTTCCATTTGATTGTTTCTAACTTGTCTTGCCATGATATTTTTTATTTGCATCTGAGAATAGAATAAAAATTAATGAAGATAAAACTTCATTGTTGAGGATCTTGTGTTATTTGTACTTTTTGCATCTCTCATTTTTTAAAGGAATGATTTAAATGTGCTATTTAACTCTGTAAACTTATTGTCTACAATTTCTTTTTTTAATTTTTCTTAGTAGATAGCTGTTAAAAGTCATTACATAGCATTAAAATATGTATACACTCATAAGTTACTTAATTCAGTACACTTGAATAAATATTTTTTATGTAAATTATGTGGAGATAGACATTTAAACATGGTCATGACAAGCTGCTGAATTTCATTTTGTTGTGTTGTTTTCTAGTCTGTAGCATAAAAGTTCCACCTCTATGCTGAGTGACAACTGACTTATTAGTAGTCACTAAATTCTATGCAAAATAGTGCAAGTTCATTTTGTCTATGTCACTATACTTCCTGGAAATGAAGAGCTTTTTTTTTCTTTTTTTTTAAGCGTTTCACCCCAAGCAAAACGGGAAGCCACTAGGATGCAAGGGGTTACAGGAAATAGCAAGATCAGATAGGAGTGTTAGAAGAAAGGATGAGGGTAGTGGATAGATCAAGGCAACTGGAGATGTCGATTGACATTACACTTGAATAGCTGGAGATTATAGCTCACAGGGAAACAGGAGAAAGGAAGGGAGTTCCACAGGCAAGAGGTGCAAGACATGAAGCTATTAGAGTAGAAGAGACGGCTACATTTAGGAGTTTCGACAGTGAAGGGGTGGGAGCAGGATGCCAGCCTCGTAGGGCGCTTGAACTCATGATGTCTGGGAACCAGCGAATGCAGCTCCTCGGAGCAATTTCCATGAAAGTATTTGTAGAACAGACAGAGGGAGGCGACGGCGCGTCTGTGAGAAAGTGACTGTAGACGAGACGCCAGGGCAGGGCCAACTATATTGCATATCCGCCTCTGGAGCCTATCAAGAACCCCGAGGCAAACAGAAGGGGCGCCAGACCATATATGGCAGCAATACTCCATGCAAGGGCGAATTGTGGATTTGTATATCTGGAGGATCGACTCAGGGGAGAAAAACTTCCTAGCACGGCTCAGGGAGCCAACTTTCCTCGTAGTGGACGAGGCAATTGACTCAATGTATTTATTCCATCTCAGGTCAGCAGTCAACGTGAGACTGAGAAGCCGCAGAGAGTTGCTCTCGAGAAGTTGAGCGTCAGACATTCTAATGGAGGGAAGGGAAGGCTCTCTGGGGTGATTAATAGAGAGCAATTTTGTCTTCGAAGTGTTGAAGTTGACCAGCCAAATCATGCCCCAGTTCACAATCGATTGGAGGTCCTTTTAGAGACACACGGCAAGGTGAGTTTTGTCAGCGAGACTAGATTTGTTTTTGAGGCAGGAATAAATTGTGGTGTCATCCGCGTAGATGCCTACTTGGGAAGTTACGGCATCAGGAAGGTCATTTATTTAGATAAGGAATAGAGTGGGGCCTAGGATGGAGCCTTGAGGGACATCTGCGTTCGTGGGATAGGAACTGGAGGAGAATCCATTGAGAACGACCTTCAATTCATGGTTTGACAGGAATGATTGTATTAGGTT